CCAGTAAGAATCATAGGGAATAACATGATGAGCATAGTGGGATCAGTCACAGGAGAATGTAGCACTGTTTTAGTTATAGGCATTTTTAAGGAAAGGTTTCATATAGCCCAGGTTGGCCTTGAACTTGCTAAGTATCTGAAAATGGCCTTGAAATTCTGATCCTTCTGTCTCCACATCCCAAGTGCTAGGGTTCAGGTGTGTACCACCACGCCTCATTTATGTCGTGCTGGGAATTGAACCCAGGGCTTCATGTGTGGTAGGCAAGGAGTCTACCATCTGAACTATATCTTCAAGCCCTCTGTGGAATTTACAAAAAAAACAACAAAAACCTTTGGGTTATTAAAATAGTATTTTCATTTCAAGAAAGACTGTTGGTGGCTGGGAAGGTAGACCTGGTGTGAGTGCTTGCCTTGTAAGCATTAGAACCTGAGTTCAGTTCTCATGTAAAAAGCTGGGCATGGTGGCAAGCACTTAAAATCAAAGCATTCAGGAGGTGGACACAGATCACTGAGGCTCGATGACCAGGAGTCCCAGGAGCCAGTGAGAGACCCTCTCTCAAAGCACAGAGATATCTTTTTTTGGGGGGGGGGGATCCTTTTGAGACAGGGTCTCCCTGTAGCCACAACTGGCCTGGAGCTCACTATGTAGACCAGGTTGGCCTTGAACTTAAAGAGATCTGCCAGCCTCTGCCTCCTGAGTGCTGGGATTAAAGGTGTATGCCACCAGGCCTGACTTTTACACAGAGATATCTTGACCTTAGACTGGTCCTGGCCTTGGTTGTCATCCGGAGTATAGTGCACTGCAAGTTCAAGGTCAGCCTGGTCTACATAGTGAGTTCCAGGCCAGCAGGGCCTACAGGGAGACCCTGTCTGAATAACAACCAAAAACAACAAAAAATTATGGTGTTCTGAAATAGAAACCAGGAGCTATAATACACAGTCCAGAAGTGCTCGGGTGTGCCTGTGTCTAGGGCTTCCCACTTGGAATTAGGTAACCTTTCAGGGAGCTAGTCCCTGGAGAATTTTTTTCTCATTCATTTATATGATATTGGATGAAATCAAGGTACTTTCTAGAAAGAGCTATGTAGTAAGTCATCATTCATTCCTTGAACTATCTCAAGGTACGAAGAAGTTTTGTTATTTGTTTAGTTGATGCTGGAGATTGAACCCAGGGCCAGGGCCTCATGCATGCTAGCAAATGTTCTGTCATTGAGCTATATCTGTAACCCTTCCTTCCTTCCTTCCTTCCTTCCTTCCTTCCTTCCTTCCTTCCTTCCTTCCTTCCTTCCTTCTACATGCAGGAAATACAGATATACACATAAAATAAAAATAATAAATAAAATATTGTTTAAAAAAAGTGAAGGGTTGTTTTTCTGGTGTTTTGAGACACGGTCTCGCTGTAGTCCCAGCTGGCCTGGAACTCACTATGTAGACCAGTCTGGCCTTGAAGTCACAGAGATCCACCAGTCTCTGCCTCCTGAGTGCTGGGACTAAAGGTGTGCACTTTTTTTTTTTTTTAATTTTTAATGTTATTTTTTGTTTTATTTGAGACAAGGTTCAGTATATAGCTGTGACTAGCCTGGAACTCTATATAGACCAAGTTATCCTATAATCCTATAACTCAAAGAAATTCACTTGCCTCTGCCTCTTGAGTGTTGGGATTAAAGGTATGCATCACCATGCCTGGCTTACTTTTCTTTTCTTTCTTTTTTTTTTTTTTTTCCGTTTTTTTGAGACAAAGTCTCCCTGTAGCCCCAGCTGGCCTGGAACTCACTATGTAAACGACCAGGCTGGCCTTGAACTCACAGAGATCCGCCTGCCTCTGCCTCCCGAGTGCTGGGATTAAAGGCGTGGGCCACCACGCCGGCTTTACTTTTCATTTTGATAGTGATCGGACCACATTGCGAAGGCTAGCTTTGAAACTTGGAATGCTCTTCCTATAACCTTGAGATACGGGCTGTACCATCAGGTCTGGCATATCCTCTTATTATGAAAGGCCACAGAATTGCTGGCATGTGTCACAATGGGAAATCGTCTTAGTTTAGATACAGAGAGCAAATTGGGCTGTAACTCCCTAGGTAATGCTGAAAGCTGAGTGTTTTCAGATGAAACATGAATGGTGGAGTCGTAGTCCTGCTTTAAAATAGCATGCTTAAATGCTGGGCTCCAAGACTCATGTCCTGGGTGGAGACCTTTTAGGAGATCAAAACAGAAGCTGTCCTTTTCCTCAGGGAGCTCATGAGTGACTGATTGGTAGGTGACTTTGAGAAGTTTTGTATTCCTCTTGAATTAATCTTTAAAACAGGAATGATTATGTTAGTGCTACTTAAATGGTTGTCATAAAAAGTAATGAATTAAAAAGCATTAGAATTTCAGAAATATAAATTTGGTTGTGTTGTAAAATTGAAACCACAAAGGACAAGTCGAGCCCTCGAGTTGCAAAAGCAAGAGGCTTTTATTTTACACAGGTACCTGTGGGCACAGCTCCTGACAAAGGGAGAAGCGCGCCCCAGGTCTGGGGTTTGGGGTCTTTATAGAGCAGAAGCAGCTTACAGAAGCAGAAGCGTGGTTATTGGTTAGTTTAAACTATTACAAAATGCTATAGGGAGAGCGGGGGGGCTTACTTATCATTAAGCCAGATGTTTCAACCATAAAACTTACTTATCAGTGAGTTGGAGATGTCTCAGCCATGAAACTCACTAATTAGAGAGTTGGCCATGAAGCTTACTTATCGGCAAGTTGGAATTCTTGACCAGCACATGACCTGCCTGAGACGTGACTTGTCTGAGAGGCTTCATGGCTCCTGACTTTTATATTTTTCAGTGTTAAATAATGAAAACTCCAAATTTGCTAGTGGTAAATGTTTGCTGAGTATTTAAGTCAGATACTGCTAAATGTTATTTTAGAAAACACATTTTTGGAATAGGTAATACTTAGTAAAACCCTTTCAAGAGTGTATGTCAAAGGACAGGGTGCTCACTTTGTCTCCCAGCCCCCAGATTCTCATTAGTATTTCCAGGCATAGTGGAAATGTTGTATAAGATCAGACATATATGTATTATATGTGTATTATAACTGTGGTGCCTTGCTCTTCTCAAGTGCCAAGTTTTTTTGTTTGTACATGTATATGTTTGCAAGCTGCCACAGCCTGTGTGGAAGCCAGAGAACAACTTTTGGGAGTCATTTCCTGGGATGGAATTCAGGTTGTCAGGCTTTTACCCACTGAGCCTTCTGTTCCCATGTGTTGTATTTATAGCCTACTTATTGAATAACAATAGTAGGTAACTACTCCATTTCACAAATAGGGAAACAGACATCTCAACTTTTTAGTAATTTATCTTGGGTCACATAGATTATAGAGTATACTTCCCTCATCCTACTGCATTATTTCATTTGGAAACTTTTAAAGTTACAGAAAAGTTGCAAAAATAAAATCTGAGGAGGATTGCACTCATATGCCCCTCCAAACGTAAAAACACAGGGTGGGGGTGGGGTGGGGGGGCAAGGGGATGTATATCAGTTGGGAGAGTGTCTAGCATGCATGAGGCTCTGGGTACAGTCCCCAGCACCTCCTTTTCTTTTTTTTTTTTAACTTTTACAAAAACTTTATTGAGAATTTCATACATGTATATAAGGTGTTTTGATCAAGACCATGCCTGCTCCCTCCCTCCCAACACCTCCCATATCTCCCCATCACTTTTTTCTTTTTTTTTCTTCTTTTATTTATTTTTATGGAGCTTTTGGGTACTCTAACATTCCCCCCTCTGAAGAGGTAACCCTAAAATCTTTTAAGGGTTAGATACAAGCTGCCAAATACTTTTGACATTTTTGGTCTTGGAACAGAGTATGTTGCTAACAGTCCCAAGAACATTTTGACTTTTAGCCAAGAAACTGGCTACTTTTCTTTGGAGTCTTTTTACCCTGTCTAGCCAATTCCTACCTCCTATTCTTATCACGCCATCCTCTGGAGGGGTTACTCAAATTGCCAATAGGGAATAGAGATACAGACCGCTCTGGCTCTTCCATGCTGAACAGGGACACAGGGTGAGGCCATAGGAGTACCCCTTCAGTGGGTCTATCTAAAAGACTCCCAAATTGCATAATTCTTATCTCTAAGGGGAAAAGAAAGTCCTTGAATTGTGAATAGGAGATGTGAAGGAGAAGTAAAGGTAAGAGTATTTAGCATTACAAGTTCTAGACTGGGAACTAGAAAAAGTCAGAACCTAGCACCTCCTTAATCCTAATGTGGTGCCTCATCCCAGGGGGCAGGAAGAGCAGGAGTATAAGGTCATCCTGGGCTGCATATGGAGTTCTAGACTAGCCTGAATTACATGAGACCTTCATCTCAAAAAAAGAGGCAAGGAAGAGGAAGAAGAAAGAAAAATTTCAAGAATAGAATAAAGAATTTCAGAAACTCTGGAGTTCCCACTTGGTTTTCTGCATCAGTTTTAATGTTGACAAAGGATAACAACTGATAATCGCACATTGGTCCCAGCTGTCATACCTCTCACCTTCTCTGGAACTTCATTGTGTTGACCTATCTGTTCTGGGATTTTCTTTTTCTGTCTTGTTTGGTTGTTTTTTTTTCTTTTCCTTCTTTGAGACAGTGGGGCCTGGAACTCAACATGTGTACCAGCCTGGCCTTGATCCCTCCTACAGAGATTTGCCTGTCTCTGCCTCCTGAATGCTGGGATTACAGACATGTGCACCTCTTGGTACCTCACTGTCTTTGACAACTACAGACATTTTGTAGGTTATTGTTCAGCTTAGAGTTGTCTTAGCTTCCTAACAGTAATGCCCATATTATGCATTTTGGGTCAGAACATTGTAGAAAATTTTGCTATGTTCTTCTGTTGTGTCTTAACGGAGGGTACACAATCTCAGTTTGTTCCCTTCCTTCTTATTAAAGGGATAAAAGGGAAGAGAGATGTGGATGGAAAGAAGAAACTTTAGTGTGCTTTTCAGAGAACTCTCTATTCAGTAAATGCCATTTTCTTGTAGCATCCTGGTGGGGAAGAGGTTCTGCTGGAACAAGCTGGTGCTGATGCGACTGAAAGCTTTGAAGATGTTGGCCATTCCCCTGATGCCAGGGAAATGCTAAAGCAGTACTACATTGGTGATGTTCATCCGGTGAGAACTGTCAAAAAACTTGAATCTCTTATGCTCTTCTGAACAGCCACTGTGCCAGATGGGAGAATGATTTATTGAAGCAGATATTCACTCAATTCAGGTCCCAGGCCAAATTTTCTCCAGATCACCAAGCCTTTCATCATAACGCATAGTATCTCTGAACAGGGAATGGATTTTAATCTTATTTTTATTGGTTGACTCCTTTAATGTAATTAATAACATTTGCACTTAAAATAGTGGTTTCGTTATTCTTACAAGTCCCTTGCTAATGGTATTAACTATAAACTTTTAAGTTCTTCATGTTTACAATTCTATCAGGGGACCTTGATTTACTAAGGGACAGGGAGCTGGGCATCTGACATCTCTGGGTGAATTTACTGCATGTTCTAAGGATAGAAGTTACACATCAGAAGAATTATTAGATGTACCTTGAAACAGTGTTCTTTTTTTTCTTTCTTTTTTTTTTTTTTTTTTTTAACAGAGTGACCTTAAACCTGAAGGTGGGAGCAAGGTAAGAAGTCATCTTTTTTTTTTCGGTCTTTTTGAGATAGGGTCTCCCTGTAGCCCTAAGCTGGCTTGGAACTCACTATGTAGACCAGGCCTTGAACTCACAGAAATCCACCTGCCTCTGCCTCCCAAGTGCTGGGACTACAGGCGTGCGCCACCACACACAGCAAGAAGTCATCATTTTGTCTGCTCTTTAGAACAATTTTAATAAGAGAAGTTAAAAAGAGTTTACTTTTTCTCTAAATAAAAATTCTATTTTTAAGAACTTTGGACTTAGTACCTATTAGGAAAAAAGAATAGCCGAGTTTTAAACAATAGAAAGCATTTTGTTAATGCCACTGTATGCTTTTTTTTAAAAAAAATGAGACTCTGAAGTATGTTCCACGTGGTTTTGAAATAAATTGAGTTTATGGATTCAGTTATGGAAAAACATTTTACCCTTAACCTACCTTGTTTAAGACAGGTGATAACAATTGCCTCTGAATGGTAGGTAGCATAGACCTTTAATCCTAGCACACAGGAGGCAGTGCGTTCAGGCCAGTCAGGGCTGTATAATGAGACCCTGTCATGGTTGTTTTTTTGTTTGTTTGTTTCTTTTTTTTTGGTCTTTTTGAGGCAGGGTTTCTCTGTAGCCCCAGCTGTCCTGGAACTCACAGAGACCCACCTGCCTCTGCCTCTGCCTCTGCCTCTGCCTCCCAAGGGCTGGGACTAAAGATGTGTGCTACCATGACCGGCTGAGACCCTGTCTTAATGCCTTTAATCCCAGCATTTGGGAGGCCGGGGCAGGTGGATCTCTATGAGTTCAAGGCCAGTGTGGTCTACATAGCAGTTCCAGGCCAGCTGGGGCTACAGGGAGACTCTGTCTCAAAAAGATAAATAAATAAATAAATAAATAAATAAATAAAATAAAAAAAAGAGAAAAAGAAAAGGCTGTCCTATAAGCTGTCTTTATCTGTAATACAGAGGCCTTTCTGTCCCTATTAGTTCTTTTATCCTATAGGCTCAAATAGGCCCTTACCCTTCCCAGTTACTCAGTGATGCTGTGATAACAAGATTGAGTACTGAGTATTTGAAAATCCTAATACATTCTGCCTTATGTACTAGGAAGAAAGTATGATGCCTTTTCTACTTTGCACAAGCAGGGTGGTGTCCCCTTCCATATCTCTTAAAATTTCCCTTGGCTTCTGTTGTTTAGATGGCTGTTAATACTGTTGTCTAGGTGCTGCCTGGCACATCATGGACACAGTATAAACTCCCCCTTTCCTCCTTCTAGATTCTCATTCCTCATTGAGCCAGAATTATTGAACAGGTTTGACACAGCAATTCAAATTAGCCTGGGCACAAGACTTCTTTCAATTCAAGAGGTTGTGAGCTTGGCAGTATTGCCATCTGTTGCACTGAAAGCCAGGGCGTTTCTATAAACTAACTCCTCTTGCTACTCTACTGCTCTGAGCTGTTAACCGTTAAGAATGAAGTGATTCTTTAAACGTTTGTGAGCACTTGGGTGGTTTTTGTCCTCCCTTCTTCACAAAAATAAAACCACAAAGTGTGCTTTCCTGGACTTCTAGTATTGCTTGTTCAGAATGTGGAGTTGTGGCATGCATTTGCATTTTAAGTAACCCATGTGATAGGTAGGTAGCCAAGCACCATACTTTCTCCTGAATTTGATATACCTGTGTTTGCCTTTTGAAAACCTAGGGACATGCTGGGTGTGGTGCTTGCCTTTAATCCTAGCACTTGGGTGGCAGAGGCAGGTGGATCTCTGTGAGTTCAAGGCCAGTCTACAAGGAGACTCTGTAGGTCAAACAATTAGAGATTGATCAGTTGAATTAAAACCGATAGACTTAGGATTTTTTTTTTTTATCTGTAAGAAGTATAGAAACAGAAGCCATCTCAGCTCACCAGGTCATGTGACAATTAGAACTCTGAAAATGTAGTTTAGTTCCATTCTTGGTTAAAGAGGAACTAGAAGCCGTGTTTTCAAGCCTCTGTTTTCTTCTTGAGTTTGCTCCCAAGGGACTTGTCTCTGTTAGGATGGGACTGACCATTGTTTCCAGTCAGGCTATTATCCTTCCTTTCAGACAGATTAGACCACGAAATTTTCCTTTTTTTGGAAAAATTGCAAGACCACCTGCATAGGTTTTCATAGAACTATAATTCCAGCCTGATTTCAGTTGTAGAAAAAAATTCTTGATTCCCCAGATTTACTTCTATGCTTGATCTTAGCCAAGAGATTGAAGAGTGATCAGATTTCTCACAGAGGTTGAAACAGACATTTCTCTGTCTAGAATGTAGGTACCTCTTTTCTGTCTGGTTTAAAGTCAAGAAGTGGGAGTGAAACTCATTTATTACTTTCTTTTCTTGTGGTTAAGGGTTTCTGAAGAAATGTTTTGTGTTTTGTTTTTTTGAAACAGGGTCTCTTTGTAGCCCCAGCTGGCCTGGAACTCTATGTAGACTAGGCTGTCCTTGAAACTCACAGAGTTCCACCTGTCTCTGCCTCTGCCTCCCAAGTGCCAGGGTTAAGGGCACATACCACTACGTATGGCTTTTCTTTTCCTTTACAGCAGACCTGGAGCTATGTAGACCAGACTCAACTTGCTCAACTTGAACTCAACAGAGATTCACCTGCCTCTGCCTCCGCAGTGCTGGTGTTAAAGGCTTTGATGTTGCTTTTACTACAGCACAGGTAAATAAGCAATAGTCAGCATTGTTTCATTGTTAGACTGATAATACCTGAGTGGGTAGCCTGGAACGTTCACAGTACAAAATTCTAAGAGTTTTACAAGTTATGAATCTGACAACAGATATCACTCTTATTTGCCTCATAAGGTCACTAATAGCTAACTAGAATTAAAAACACTTTGTCCAACCTGGTGTGACACATGCCTTTAGTTCTGGCCCTGAGGAGGCAGAGGCAAGCATTTCTGTGGTTTTGTTGGTCTTTCTTCACTAGGGAATACCAGTGTTAATAGAAAAAAAGTCCCAAATTCACCCACTGCTTAAAGGTTTGTAAACATCAAAATGCACAAAAGTTAATTGTTATCTACAGAGTTTATATTGCTACTTAAGCAGACACATGTACTTTGCTGATCTTTTTTTCTTTTTCTTATTTTTGAACATGGGGCTTCTTCAGGATCCTTCAAAAAAGAGTACATGCAAAAGGTTAGTATTCCCTTTATGGACTTTCTTACACTACATGTCTGGCAAGATGTTCTTGTTTAAATATACGTGTTTAACATATCTGAGAGTACAGTTGGACAGCTTGTCCTTTTTTGCCCAAAATTATTATGAATTCAGTAATTTTTACAGTTTTAACAATTTTGAATAAGCAAAAGTTTAAGTAATTTGAAAATCTCGTTGTGATTAGGATTGTCCTCAGAGGCTAATATGCATAGACAAGTAACCACTTACTAAATTCTGTGTATGTGCAGCTCAGTTTAGCTATGTGATTTTCACTTAAAACGTAATCTCATGTGCTTATCACTCTGTAAAGGTAGGTGTGTTGCTACATTTTACAAAAGAAAAATTATTAGTCATATAATAATTTTGATTTTCTCTAAGTTTTACTTTGTAATTCTTGTAGCAATATTAGTAGTATTAGTTCTGAAAAGTATAAATTACCACTGTAAGTATCTCTAGTTAATGACTTTGGATCCTTGATTGGTTAAAAAAAAATCTTCATAGAGATTACAGGTAACCATCTGTTCTGTCTTTTTGGAAATCTCAAAGTATTTTTGACAAAATGAGAAAAAAATATTTTTTCCCAACAAAGTATTGAGCTTTTGGCTGGGCACTCAGGAGGCAGAAGCTGACAGATCTCTGTGAATTCAAGGGCTTCATAGGAAGACTGTGTCTCAAAAAATGTATTGATTTTTTTTTTACTTGAAGTAGAAGTATAAATGGTTGAGTATTTGCTGCTCTTGTAGAGGACCTGAGTTCAGTTCCTGCCACCCACATCTGTAACTCCAGTTCTAGGGCATCCGATGCCTTTTGACTTCCAAGGATGGCTGCAGGTACCCACACACAGACACACACTCATACACATAATTAAAAATACAAATCATAAAAAAACAAAATGTAAAGAAAGGACTGAGGGGCCAGTAAGATGACTGAGCAGGTGAAGGCAGTTTCCATTAAGCCTAATGACCTGCATTCAAACCCTAGAACCCACATGGTAGAAGGAGAAAGAACCTATTCCCACACATTATCCTCTGACCCTCACACGTTCTGTGGCATATGCACATACATACCACACATACACATACGTATACACATACTCTAAATAAAAGTAATAAAAATGTGTTTTTAAGATCTGAGGATGTAGCTCAGTTGGTAGAATGTCTATACCTGCTTAGTAAATACCAGACTTGAGTTTGATCCGCACCACTGCATAGCAGGAGGATGGCATATCCTTGTAAGCCTAGTTCTTGGGAGGTAGAGGCAAGAGGATCAGAAGTTCAGAGTCATCCTTGACTACATAGGGAGTTTGAGGCAGCATTGGCTACTGAGACCCTGTCTCAAAAAATGAATGAAAGAAAAAAAGAGATAAAATACAGATTAGGCCAGGCATGGTAGTACATGCCTTTAGTTCTAGGGCTTGGGAGGCAGACCAGGCAGATCTTTGCAAGTTCAAGGCCAGTCTGGTCTACGTAGGGAGTTCCAGGCCAGGCGTGGCTACAGGGAGACCATCTCAAAAAGACAAAAACAAAAAAACCCAGATTAGAACTGGTCATATAGCTCAGTGGTAGAGCACTTGTGTAGCATGTAAAAGGCCTTAGATTGAATTCCCAGCATTAAAACCAAACAACCCCTCCATCCCAAAAAGACTTAATTGAGTGTGATGGTGCATTCCTATATACAATCCTGGAATTCAAGAGGCCTTGTTAGGAGGATACAAAGTTTGAGGCCAGTCTGGATTAAATAGTGAAATCTTATCTCAAAAAAAAAAAAATAAAAGTGGGCTGGAGATGTAGCTCAGGTGGTTGAATGCTTCTCTAGCATGCACAAAGCCCTGGTTTTGATCCCCAGCACTGCCTAAATTGGTTATAGTGGTTCAGGCCTATAATCCCAGCCCGTGGGAGGTAGAGGCAGGAGGATCAGAAGTTCAAGGTTATCCTCAGCTACATAGTGAGTTTGAGGCCAGACTGGGATACATGAGACCCTGTCTCGAAAAAGAGAAAGTTAAACTAAAAATTTTGGTATAAATTATTAGTAAATTCAGTTTTCTTAATACTGAGAACTCAGGTTCAGCCAAATGATGCATAAAGAATTTGAAAATACAGGGGCCTGGAGAGATGACTCAGTGGCTAAGAGTACTAACTGCTCCTGCAGAGGACCTAGGTTTAGTTCCCAGCACCCATAGAGCAGCTAATAACCATTCTTAGCTCTAGTTCCAGAGGATCTGATGCCTTCTTCCGGCCGCCACAGGCTCCTTTTTCTGGCCTCTGGGCACAGGGTACATTTACATATATGCAAGCAAAACACTCATGCACATAAAAATAAATAAATAAATGATAATTTGAAAATAAAAGCCATGAACTTAAAGTAGACATATGATACACATAGATCTGATTATGAATTATTACTCTAGTTCCAGAGGATCTGATGCCTTCTTCCGGCCGCCACAGGCTCCTTTTTCTGGCCTCTGGGCACAGGGTACATTTACATATATGCAAGCAAAACACTCATGCACATAAAAATAAATAAATAAATGATAATTTGAAAATAAAAGCCATGAACTTAAAGTAGACATATGATACACATAGATCTGATTATGAATTATTATGCAAGCCAGGTGTGGTGGTGCACACCTGTAGTCCCAGCACTTGGGAGGCAGAGGCAGATGGATCTCTGAGTTCAAGGAGCCTGGTCTCGTCCTCTTTTTTTTTTTTTTTTTAAAAAAAAAAAAAAAAAAAAAAAAAAAAAAAAAAAAAAGAATTATTATGCAGATACATGCAGCACCAGTTGAACTCAGGGAATTATTAATAACAATTTTTTAAAAAAGCAGAAATGGGCTGGAGAAATGGCCCAGTGTTTGAATACTTGCTGCTGTTTCCAGAGGACCTGAGTTTGATTCCTAGCACTCATGTCAGGCAGCTCACAACTGCCTGTAACTCCAGCTCCAGGGGATCCTGATGCCTTCCTCTGCCTTCTGTGGGCACCCACACAAATGTGGCATACACATAAATAAAACTTTATTTTATTTATTTATTTAATTAAGTTTTTGAGACACGGTCTCCCTGTAGCCCAGCTGGCCTGGAACTCACTATGTAGACCAGGCTGGCCTTGAATTCACAGAGATCCTCATGCCTCTGCCTCTCAAGAGGTGGGATTAAAGGCCTGCACCACCACACCTGGCATAAATAAAGCTTAAAAAAAAAAAAAAAAGATAGGACGTGAAGTTGGGAGGAAAACCAGGTGGAGACCACTAGGGGGAGGTGGAGGGAGGTAGTGTTGGATCTATATGACCAAAATACATTGTATAAATGTATGAATAAGGAATAAGTAAATATTTTTAAAGGATTATTATACAAAATACATAAAGAATCTTGCAAATACATTTTTTTAAAAAACCTCAGTAAGGCCAGGTGCAGTGGTGCATGCCTTTAATCCCAACACTTGGGAGGCAGAGGCAAGTGGATCTCTGTGAGTTTAAGGGCAATCTGGTCTACATAGTGAGTTCCAGGCCAGCTGGGGTTCCAGGGAGACCCTGTCTCAAAAAAAAAAAAACCACTAAGAAGACTTAAGTTTAAATACAGAAGAGGAAACACAAATGTAAGCATGTGACAAAAGGTTTAGCATCATTCATTATTTAGGTCTATTTCACTGAATAGGTTGGCAAAATTTAAGATTTCTGCAAATAAGACTTGTTAAAAAGTGAATTGGCAAAACTCTTATCTGCTCTTACAGGGATGCAAATGGGCACGATCACTTTGGAGAACATTTTGGCATTATCTAGTAAATTTGATAGTATTTTGAAGTGGGAGGATTGCTTGACCCAGGAGTTTGAGACTAACCTAGCAACAAAGTAAGGCCCTATTGCAGAAAAATTAAAAAGATGGGGGTGTGTGTGTACAAGGAAACACATATAAGAATGCTTACAGCAGGATTATTCAAGACATTTAAACATCAGAAACAGTTCAAATATCCATTAACAAAATGAATGAATTCTAGTATATCCATGCAATAAAATACTGCTGAGCAATGAAAATAAACAAATGCAAATTGCATGATAACCTGGATGAATCTCCAAGAAGAGAATTCTGGCTTATGGCACTAAGTTAACCCTAAATCCTTCATGAAGTTGAAATACTTCTCTGTCTTCTCAGTGGCAGTTCTCAGGAAAAATCGTGTGTGAGTTGGTGTATAACCATTCTCTCTCTTGTACTGAAATTTTCTTTCTTGTTTCTTGAGCATTCTGCCTTTGAACTCTAGTTTTTTCTGGTTGTTCTTTGTCCTGTGTATATATCCTTTGTATTTAGATCTTTAATGGTGTACAACATAATACAAACAAAACAAAGAGACAGGTCTCTATGCCTAGGTGTTACTCATTGTTTCGTTCTAAAGCAGGGCTGGAGGAGGCTGTTGAAACGAGGGGTTAGTGCTGGGTGGCTTACATTGTGGCCTGTTTTCTCTCCCATTGAGCATCCTGGGAAGAGGCCAGCCATTATTTAAACTGACAACAGCTTCCTAGAGCAGGGGCTCCAATGCCCTTGGGCAGCAGAGGATTGTGGTCTAAGCCAAAAGAAACAGTATTGACAGGGAAGCATGGGAACTGCCTGGCAGGAGAGGCAGACTGCCTGGTGAGGAAAAGTACATCCTTTGTACCTCAGAATTCTGGTTCTTCTTAAGGAAGCCTGAGTTCATTTCCATCATGGGGACATTAAAATTCCCATGAGCAGTATTACTCTTATGTGTGCTGTCTTGATTGTTTTATTCTTTTTTAAACAAAGCTGCCTGACTGACATTCTAGACTTGTTTGGAGTAGCTTTCTGCCATACTTCTGTGTACCTAAAGTACTAGGCATGGTTAGGCAGAGAATCATTTTTGTTATGAACCTCAGCTTGTTTTATTGAATTTTATTATTTATTTATTCATTAATTTTTTTAGTCCTTTGGAGACAGGGTCTCCTCATAGCCACAGCTGGCTTGGAACTCACTATGTAGACCAGGCTGGCTTTGATCTCACAGAGATCCACCCACCTCTGTCCCCCAGTGCTGGGACTAAAGGCATATACCACCACCCCTGGCTTGACTTGGTGCTTTTTTTTTTTTTTTGGACTTTTTGAGACAGGGTCTCCCTGTAGCTTCAGCTGTCCTGGAACTCACTATGTAGACCTTGAACGCCCAGAGATCCGCCTGCCTCTGCCTCCCGAGTGCTGGGATTAAAGGTGTGCACTACCACGGCCGGCAACTTGGTGCTTTTTAATATCAAAACTGGATGTCTTTTTTTTTTTAACTTTTACAAAAACTTTATTGAGAATTTCATACATGCATATAAGATGTTTTGATCAAATCCATGCCCACTCCCTCCCCCC